TGAGGGAATTGTAGAATATCTGTCTGATTTTTGAAGAGGTTAATTCATACCCAGGTGGGGAAAGAATCCCTGGAATTTAGAAGACAGAGTAGGAGCCAGAAATGATAAAAGCTAATTGTAAATTAGTTGAAAAAGGGAATGCAAATATTTCAAGAAGAGGGTCGAAAATTAGTTTCAAATTTCACTTATAACTTAATCCTACTAAGCTTTCTCTTACCTCTTGGATGTCCTCCAGATAGACTGGTATAAAATAAAAACTGTACAATATCTCACAGCATTTACTGGGGCATTTCAGATTACCTTGGAGCCATCAATGAGTAATTCACCTTTCCTCTGGATATTGAAGTATGGAAATGGGAAATCTGTCCCCAGGAAGGTCAGATGGACCAAGTAAGGCAACTGGACTCCTGGGAAAGAAGGATCATCTCAGGAGACTCAGCTGTGCTGTTTCCTGACTTGAATAGGTCTATTGAGTAAAGTGGTAACAGGTAGACTATTTTTGGTCCCTGTGGCCTTGGGGTCTCAACTCCCAAAGCTCCTCGTTAGCCAAACATGTACTGTTGTTTCTTCCGCAAGGCAGTTAAAATCCTTAAGGAGCACAGCTCCTAGAAGAGAACTCCTGGATGACTGATACATCATTTCTCTTCCTACATGTTTCTTCTTACATCCAGAGAATCTCATCCTTGAATTCTTGGGTCTGACCTTAAGGGAACTGGTGGGGTTCCCCTTAGACCAATTTCACAGCTTTCTCTGAGTCAGAGGTTATCACTAAAGGACTAGAGAACCAGAGTGGTGTATGTCCCCACAGAAACAGAGACTCAAATATGCAGAGAATGTATCATGGGGTCATCTCCACAAAGTCATTCTAAGAAAATTTTCCCTTTTCTTAAAGCACTTCACAAATTAAGTCAGTACTATTATAGAAAAGGGGTAGCAAAGAAAACCAATTTACTACTTACTTGGGCAGGCTTTTAGAGGATGCCTGAAAGATAGACATCAAAACCAGCACTCTTTAAAAAGATCACAATAAAAGCACTAACCATAAAGGAAGCAATTGACCAATTGAATGCATTAGCATTGGGAAACGGAGGAATATACAGGAACTCTCCATATTATTATTTTCACTTTACTGTAAGAGTAAAAGTAGCTCAATAAAAAGTTTTACAAAACAAAAAAAATCAAAATCAAGTTTAAATCAAGATATGGTACCACTACAAACTCATCAAAATGGCCAAAATAAAAAGACAATGTAAAATATTAGCAAGATAGCAGAAATGTATATTGGTTTTCAAACTACTTTGGAAAATTGTTTAGTACTGAATGTGACTATATGTATTCCCCGTGACACATAAATTATACTTCTAAATATATACCCAACATAAATATGTACAATTGTGAACCAAAATACATGTACAAGAATATTCATAGCAGAACTATTTGTAAACTATCCCAGCTATAAATAACTGAAATGTCCAAAACAGTTGAATGAATAAAATATGCATATTCACACAAAGGAAAACTGCAGCAATGACAATAAACTCCCAATAAATGGAACCACATAGATGGATCTCATAAATCTGTTGAGTGGAAGACAGGCATGAAATATCTAAAAACCATTGAATTTTATACTTCAAAAGGGTGAACTTTTTGGTATGCAAATTATACCTCAATAAGCTGTTAAAAATGCATGATTCATAGAGTACTTACATTCTGGTAGCAGGAATCAGGGTCATTAGTGATTGAGAGGGAGCATTAAATGATGATTCTTGGGTGCTGATATTTTATTTTTCTGACCAATGTTGTGCTGTGTGGGGAGCCATGGTTACAGGTAATTCAGAGCCTTACAGACTGGCTCGGTTAATGCTTAACCTGTTTCTGCTCCTAAGGCATTGTCTCTGCCTTATCTGGAGGGTGCTTACAAGTTGCTGAGGTATGTGGTGAGAAGGTCAGTTCCTTAGGAGACACTATAGATAGATGGCTATCTGGGTTAATGGAAGAAAGTGTCCTGGGAAGCTGACTCCCTAAGGTCCCTCTGATCTTTAAGTCTCCAGTAGATAGTTAATGATCTGCTTCTGAATGAGGTAATGCATAGTTGTCCCTGCAGTGTTGCACATACTCAAACTGCATATATTGGTGATGAGAAATAAACTCGGGGCTTCAGCATCACTGAAGACCGGCCGCATCAGCATTTGTGTGAGTGTCTTTTTATTCATTCCCACTCCCCCCTTCGGGTACTGATCGACTTGTGGTGGCTGGCCCGCCACAGTGCTGTAGTTATTACAGTTGTGTTCTATCTTGTAAATATTCATAGAGTTACAAGGTCAGACAATTAAGCTTGCAAAGTTGTTGCAACGATGTTGGCTAACCTTTTTTGATATCAGAGGGATTATTCATTATAAATTTGTACCAACCGGACAAACAGTTAACTAAGTTTACTATTTGGAAGTGCTTGAAAAAGCTGCATAAAAAAGTTAGATGAGGGCTGGCCAAGTGGCTCAGTTGGTTAAGAGTTGGCTTGGGAGCATGAGCTCTGAGCAGCAGGGCTGCTGGTTCGGATCCCACATTGGGGGCCAGTGACACTGCACCCTCCACAGCTAAGATGGTGAACAACAGCTCAACCTGTGGCTGGGCTGCCATGAGTCGCAGGCGATGGCATAGGCTGCAGTGGGGCTGCAGTGGGCTGCCGTGAGCCACCGTGAGTGGCTGGCAGCCACCATGAGCATCCGTCCCACCGCCGGCGACCGACTGCCTCAGCCAGGAAGAGCGAAATAATCACAATACCAATATGGACCAGTGAAGCAACATCCTCCACAACTAAACTGAAGAACAAAAGGACAGCAACTTGTCTGTTCCCCTCCCCCAATTCCCCAATAAAATCTTAAAAAAAAAAGTTATACAAAAACAACCTGAATATTTCCCAAACAATCCGTGGTTCTTGCATCACGACACTGCACCAGCTCACATGGCACTGTCTGTGATGGAATTTTTAGCCAGTAAGAAATTAACTGTATTGGGAACACCCTCCCTACTCCCCTGATCTGGCCCCCAATGACTTCTTTACCCAAAGATAAAGGAAATGTGAAAGGAAGACATTTTGATAACATTCAGGACATCAAGGGTAATACGATGACAGCTCTGATGGCCATTCCAGAAAGAGTTCCAAAATTGATTTGAAAGGTGGACTAGGTGTTGGCATTGGTGCATAGCCACCCAAGGGGAGTACTTCAAAGGTGACCACAGTGATATTCAGCAATGAGGTATGTAGCACTTTTTCTAGGGTGACTTCACGAAGTTAATTGTCAGACATTTTTGTACATGCTAAACGTAAACAACAAGGTTATGTTGTAAGTTCAGAATCCCAAAAATTTAACCATCCACAATTTTTGTGGGAAGATTCATTATGGACCTTGTGACAGGAAATGGTAGGTTAAGAGACATGAAAGATGTAAGTATATACAATAGATGATTTGTAAACATAATTTAAAAGCTTTATTTATAGGTAAACATCTATTAAACATACATCCCTTAAAACAAATAAGTTTGAGGATATAATGTGCAACATAGGAAATATAGTAAATGATGTTGTGACAGCGTAGTACAGTGTCAGATAGTTGCTGGACTTATGGTGATCACTTCTTTAGCATAGGGAATGTAATCAATAATGTGGTAATAACTCTATATAGTGTCAGGTGAGTACTGTTGAATAACTATGATGTACACCTAAAACTAATATAATGTTAGCTATATTTTAATTAAAATCTTAATTAAAAAAAACACATCCCTGGGCTGGCCGAGTGGCGCAATGGTTAAGAACTTGCTTGGGATGCCAGAGGGCCCCGGTTTGGATCCCACATATGAGGGCCAGTGACACTGCCCTCTACAGCTAAGATGCTGAACAACAGCTCAACCTGGAGCTGGGCTGCCGTGAGTCGCCGGCGACGGCGTAGGCTGCAGCCCCTGTGGCAGTGGGTTGCCATGGGCTACCATATGTAGCCAGCAGCCAGCGTGAGCGGCCAGCAGCCGCAGTGAGCAGCCGTCCAGAAGCCGGCGACTGATCTGCCTTGCCTGGGAAGAGCACAATGATGGTTCCAACTTGGGCCAGTGAAGCAACGTCCTCCACAACCAGACTGAAGAACAAAACGACAGCAACTTGTCTGTTCTCCTTCCCCAATTCCCCAGCACTGTTCCCATACCCCCAATTCTGCAATAAAAATCTTTAAAAAAAAAAAGAAAAAACCCACATCCTTATACCAAATAATTATTCAGGTTTTTTTTACTATATATATATACAGAAGGTACCGGAAAATGTATACGCATTTTAAGAAAAAAAAGGAAACAATTATTAAAATTGTAATACTCGATATATACTGATAACAGAACATGAATACAAGTCATGTTTGACGTCTGCAATTATGAGAGGTGCTCAAAGTGGTCACCATCAGCATCCAGGCACTTCTGATTACGGCGAGCTACTGCTTCAACATTGTTGACCAAAGGTCCACTTGTATACATTTTTTGGCACCTCCAATATATTTTTAAAAACTGGACTGCCATATGTTGGTTAGTGATTGCCATCACTTGGGAGTAAAAGAACCTTCCTCCCGCCACCAACATAAACACACACACACACACACACACACACACACACACACACACATACACACACAAATACACACACACAACACACAACAAAACAAAACAAAACAGAAATCATAGTGGCTTAATACAGTAGGTGTTCATTTTTTGCAAATAACAAGTTTTAAAGATATTAAAAGTTTTTCTCTTCAGTGTTGAGCTATTACATATCTTCTAAGGGATGATGAATGAACAAAGAATTTCTCATGGTCATAGCGTAACTAAGGTTTCTCCCTCATATGTGTTATTTAGATGCTTTCCCACATTCTTTACATCCAGTTTTTCTCTTCAGTTAGCATTTGTTTGTATGTTTGGAAGATTGTGAGTTCACTGAATGCTGCTGTACATGTACATCATTAGGAGTTTTATCCATCATGAGTTCTTTCATGGCACCGGAGGTATACAAGTTTACTGAAAGCACGCCCACAAACATTGCATTTATAGGGTTTTTCTCCTGTATGTACTCTCTTGTGCACAGTAAGATTACACCTCACACTAAAGGTTTTCCCACATTGATTACACTCATAAGGTTTCTCTCCTGTGTGAGTTCTTATGTGTATTGTAAGAGAGACATGCCTCCTAAAGGCTTTTCCACACTCACTACACTTAAAGGGTTTCATTTCCCTGGTATGGTTTTTCTTATGTCTCCTATGAGATAAGAAACCACTGAAGACTTTCCCACATTCCTTACATTCATATTGTTTCATTCTTGCATGAACTGTCTTGTGCAATATGAGGAAAGATTTTACTCTAAAAGCTTTTCCACATTCATTACACATAAAGGGTTTTTCTCCAGTATGAATTCTCACATGTTCTTTAAGGCATGAGCGATCCCTAAAGGATTTTCCACAGTCATTGCACTTGAAGGGTTTCTCTCCAGTATGAATTTTCTTATGCATGACAAGATTAGAGCTAACTCTAAAAGTTCTCCCACATTGATCACACTTGTAAGGTTTCTCTCCAGTATGTATCCGCAGGTGTGTCTTAAGGGATGACTGACTACTTAGTACTTTTCCACAGTGGCTACATTCAAAGGATTTCTCTCTAGTGTGGATTCTCTCATGTCTTTTAAGGTATGCAAAAATACTAAAGGTTTTCCCACAATCATTGCATGCATAAGGTTTCTCTCCAGTATGTGTTATCTCATGCGTGGTAAGCCTACATCTCCTAGAGAAGGTTTTGCTGCATTGATTACATCTGTAGGGTTTTTCTCTTAAGTGAACTCCTTTATGTTGCCTGAGAAGTGAGCTATCTCTGAAAGTTTTCCCACAGTCATGGCATTCATAGGGCTTCTCCCCAGTATGAATTCTCTTGTGTCGCGTAAGGTAAGAATTTGAGCTGTATGCTTTCCCGCATTGATTACACTTAAAAGGTTTTTCCCCAGTGTGGGTTCTCATGTGCAACTTAATAGCTGCATGGCTTTGTAATAATTTACCACACTGACTACATTCAAAAGATTTCTTTCTAATGTGAGTTTTTTCATGCTTCTTAAGGTGTAAGATTGAACTTAAGACTTTCCCACAGTGACTGCATTCATAGAATTTGTCTCTTGTATGTTGTCTCTTGTTCATGGTTAAGTAAGAGCTCTTGGTGAAGGCATTTTCATCTTTTTTACATTCCTGGGACATTTCCTCGGAAAGAATTCTCTTATGTGGCCTAAGACGTGAGCAATCTCTGAGGGCTTTTCTAGAGTCAAGGCATTGATGGGGTTTCTCTCCAGGATGAATTCTCTTTTTCTGAGGAATGCTAGATTTCTTGCTCAAGGCTTTACCAATCTCATTCCATTCAATGAGTTTGCCTTCATGAGTTTGTGCCTATTGATTAAAATGTGAGTTATGATCACAAGATTTATAATATTCATCATATTGATTGAGAATCTCCCTATCCACACACACACAAATTCTGACATGTCTAACAAGCACTTTATTGGCATTAGAATTTATTTACTATTTCTTTAGTGAATACAGTTTCTGACTGCTTGTGTTTATCAACTTTGATTAAGCTGAATGCTATACCGGATGGCTCCATCAGGGTCCCTTCAACAAAGTTTTAACATATAATTACTTTAGAGTGAATTATGTTTTAAACATTTAATGTCTAATCTCCATTATGAAGATATTTATTTTGGGGATTCTCTGTAACCATTTTTGGAGTTAGGTTGTGAATTTCCTTCAAAATAATGGTTTTTAGAAAATCTGCTTTCTTTTGGTGAAACAAGTGTGATTTAATTGCCTCAAATTACCCTCTAGCTCATGTGCTCCTTTTCTATCATCTGGAATTCTGGATTTCTAATGTGCAGGATAAGAAATTATTGCACATAAAGCTTACCTTCTTCTTGCCACTGAGTGTTTCTTTTTCCAAAATATCTTGTTGATGTTGTAATTGTTTGGTTTTCAGGAGAATCATCCCATCTGAACAAATTGGGGAAAAGTAAGTTTTAGAAAAGACTTGGTGACATGTTGACAAAATCAGGTAAGGTTCAAACCCAGTCTTTAACAAAGGGGAAACATAAACTCAAATGGTAGGATGATAATAAAAAAGTGAGGCCCATGTGAATTTCTCTTCAAATGCTGACCCAAACTTAGGAAGACAACATGAAAGAAAAATGCATTCATGATCAAAGGAATGATATTTACCTGATTTAGTATTTTATGTAATTTACTAAGAAATGGTTCTATCATGATTAAAAAATATGTTAACAGGCAAAAGATATTATGTATGCAAAGTAGGAAGAATTAAACAACTTTTTCAAATGTTAGCATTAAAGAGCAAGACATATCTCAGAGCACAGAGAGCATGAAATGATGTAAGGGTGACTGTATTTTCTATTTTAAGATTTAAACCTCTAGTATAATTCAATTTAACAGTGTAGTTTATCTTGGGACTTTTTGAAAGTTGTTGTTTTCTTTGCCTCCCTCTTCACCTGCCAAATCTTAATGGTTATGTTTACTATACATTTACTCTGCATACCAGTTTCAATGCTTCTGTTTACTCCAGACCAGATGCATACCAGGCTCAATAGCCTCAAGGAAACCTCCAGGACAGAAAGAGGTTTATACATCTGCATAGGATCCGCCCCTATCCCTGAAACAAATCAGCCTCCAAGAAGTGCCTATTCAATGACTGTTGACTCCAGGCCAAGACCACACCACACACACACACACACACACACACACACACACACACACACATATATACCTTTCCCTTGTTCTGCCTCTTACTTGCTTATAAAACTTTTTGGCTGGCTGAGGGTGAGGGGTGATGGCCTTTGGACAGGAGTCTGCCATCCTCCCAGAATGCCTGCATTTTTAATAAACCTGTTTTTCTTTCTACCAAACTCATCTCTTGAGTTTTGGCTTTCATGCAGCTAGCAGCCAGACCTTCAGTATGGTAACCATAGATAAAAAGTGAAAGATTGGGGAAAGTTGAAACTACATGAGGAAGTTCAGACGAAATGGTCTCTGTTTTCTTCTCAGATTGAAAGGGTGTTTTTTAAAGTTTCCTGACTGACATTTCATATTGTATCTCCTCCTCACCCCAACCAGATCTGGTAAGCAAAACATTCATAGATGCTTGGTAGTCACCTGAACAGGTATTTTGGTGAATTCTCTCTATTGTCTCTACTTCATCTTCCTGCTCCATCTCAGTGATCAGAGTGGGTTTGCTGAATTGATGCCCTATAGGAGGAGACATGCAAGTACCACACAGTGTACAACAAAAACCACCATCAAACTGTGCCAACAACTTGGCCTTCAAGGTTCTGAAGATAGGCAAGTGTGACTTTAGGAGCAGCAAAATTATCATGACAAATTTCTAATGGACAAAACAAAAGCAAAGCACTTGGGAGATCACCTTCCAGAATGATAGACTAAGGACCCTGGTTAACTCCCACCAAAACAATAAATGATAAGCAAAACAACTAGAATCAATTATTTCAGAACTCTGCAGATTAACTAAAGCCACAAAACAAATGGAAAATTTTATACCCAAGAGAAATCATTGAACCTTGGTAAGAGAACAGTATCTGTGACATTTTAACTTGAGATTACCCCTATTCCTCCTACCTCCTCAGTTCCATAGTGTGGCAGCCAAAAACCATCAGTCTTGCAGTAAACAGAGAGGTCTGACCACTTTTGGAGCTCCACAAAGAAAAAAAAATCCCCAGAACAGTCAATATCTTTTTTCTAAACTTGCAACTTCCTAGAAAATCTCTTTTCAGGATGTGGCTATTTGACTTTACTCAGAAAAAAAAAACTCTTACCCCCAAGGTATTACCAAAACAATAGCAACCTGCTAGTAAGATGCTATGGCTGTGACTTCACTTTGGGAAAACAAATGACTGGTTGGTAATTTGAAAGGAAAACCAGAAAAACTAAACAACAATGGGTAATTTTTATAAGCTCCAGCAAGTTCCAGGGGATCTACAAGTCTGTGAGCATGAGTGAGGCTGTGCACATGCCCAGGAAAGATGCAGAAACCAATAAATCCTAAGTCACCCACGTCTACTGAGCTTTTAAGACCCTACCCAGGCAGGAAGTGAAAGCTAAGCCAGTCTTATAATTTACCTGAAGCTGAAAGGCATGACTTCTCACATAGATCCCCTTGGCAAAGGGAGGAAGAGATATAGGCAAAGCATTTAAGAAAGTCCTTTAACCAATGATTGACAGACTAGTAAATTATAATGACCAATATGTACTCCTAATAAGCCAGCTTTAAAAATAAAAATAAGTAATTAAAATAAAAAGCTAGCAGAAAACTCTGTGGCTACATACTGCAGGGAATACAGAATTCATCTAGAAGCCACCAATAAATAAGCACTGACAAGAAAACAACAACAAAAGCCAGCAACAACAACATACCTTGATGGCAGAGGGATCCGATACTAGAGTTGGTAAATTATCTAAAACATCCATTTTCAAAAAAATTATGATACATGCAAATGCACAGGAAAGTATACCACATATGGTGGGGGAGAAGTAGCCAATGTCCCTTAAGGTGCCCAGATTTTGGATTTAGTAAGTGAAGATTTAAATCACCTATTATAAAAATACTTAATAGACAAAGACAGAAAACTGTTCCCCTAAGATTAGGAACAAGAACGTCCACTCTGGCCACTTCTATTCAACATTACACTGGGGCTCTAGTCAGAGCAATTAGGCAAGGAAAAAAATAAATAACCTCTATTCACAGATGTCATAAGCTTATTAATAGAAAATCTGAAGCAATCCACAAAAAAACTATTGTAATAAATAAACAAGTTCAACAAGGTTGCATGGTACAAGATCATACACAAAATATCAATTGTATTTCTATATACTAGCAATGAGCATAGTATAGAGCAAAATAAAATCCAGAAAGCAATTTCATTGACAATAGCATCAAAAAGAAAATGAATGAAGGGCCAGCCAAGTGGCTCAGTTGGTTAAAATCTCGCTCAAGAGTGGAAGCTCTGAGCAACAGTGGTTGGAGTCCCAGCCCGAGCTGAGCTGCCAACAGGTGGCAGGATGGCTCAGCTATAAAAAAAGAAAGAAAGAAGAAAGAAAGAAAGAAAGAAAGAAAGAAAGAAAGAAAGAAAGAAAGAAAGAAACTAGTCACAAAAACCACATGTGATAGGATTCCATTAATATGAAATGTTCAGAACAGGCAAATCTATAGAAACTGAAAGTAGATTAGTTGTTGCCAGTGGCTGTAGGTAGGAAGGAATGAAATGTTCTGTAGGCTGGGCAATGAAAATGTTCTGAAATTAGTGGCGATGGTTGCACAACTCTGTGAATATACTAAACAAAAATTATTTTGTGCACATTAAATGGATAAATTATGATGTGAATTATAGTTAAATACAGCTAATTTTTTTTAAAGTGAAAATCTGCAAAAACCTACAGGAAAACTATAGTCTATACCACATGATGATTGGGGTTTACTCATCCCAGAAATCCATGCCCAAGCTTAATAGATAAATGAAGGGATTGTGTAATATCCTTACCCAGTGAAGCCAAGTTTCTATAGTTCTCCAGCATCACATCTCTGTACAGTTTTCTCTGAGATGAATTCAGCAATTCCCACTCCTCCCGGGTAAAGTTCATGGTCACATCCTCAAAGGTTATTGAGTTCTAAAATATTAATACATTTTGTCTCAACCAACCCCACCAATGGTTTTGGGAAGAGGATCATGGGTGACAGCACTGGGAACAAAAGACATGTTTCATAGCAATTTCAAAATTCTGAGGAGTCTCCTCATTTAATCCAGGACCCATTTCTCAGAATCTTCCTTTCTCTATTCATGCTCACTCCTTAAGTGATCTCAGCCAGTCTCAAGAATTTAAGGCATCTCTGACACAAGATGAAATGTATCTCTCCACTGATAGCCTGAGAACTTTTTTTTTATTGTTAGTTTCAGGTGTACAGAACAAAGCAATAGTTATCCTTTTCAACCTCCCAAAGAGAACTTTTACTCTCTTCTATCTACAGGGTCTAATACAGACCAGAACACATTGCAAGCATGAGAGAAATACTTACTAACTGAACAAATTATTTCCCAGAGTGACCACACATTTTTTGAGGCTAAGAGAATCTTATATCCTTCTTTTACTTTCCCTAAAAAGACTCAGCAGGAAGGATGCCTGAAAAAATGTGTAAATGGTAGGGTAGTGGGAGAATTTTGTTGGAAATTCCATTGGAAGTCTCAAGATGCAGGTTGGGTTGTGAGGCTCCAGAGCATTGGAAGGAGATGCATTCACCTGATGATAAGAGAAAGAAAAAAATTCTTGACTCACCTGCAACTCAGAGTGGAAATGTTCCACTTCTGTGATCCTCTCATGGGCAGAGGCAGGGTCTAGGACAGGCAGAGATAGAGAAGAGGGTGACATGAGACTCTAGGTACATCCAATATCACAACACTCACAAGCCTAGAAATTGCCCCACATCAATTGAGTCACACACGTACACAAACACAAAACGTATTATCGAGAGCAACCTACCCCACCCAGAGCCAGAAAGTAGGGTGCCTTGCTCCCTGTGAGGAGTGGATATATAGTCTCAATTTTCTTAGACAAGGAAATTGAAATTTAGAAAGGTGGAGTTGTTATCTTTCCCAAGTATATAAAACAACTGGATGGGATAATTTTTGCATCCTTTAAATTTTCTTTCCCCTCCCTACTGTGCACATATGCCCTTGCCTCCAAAATCCCAAAGGATATTGAGTCAGTCATAAGCAAACTCTGGGGTTCCAAGTGTTCCTAGAGCTCTACACCCACCTCCTCGCATTTTGGCCCCTCCTTCCCTGTCCTCTGTGGCTGCTCAGCTCCCTTAATTTGTGGCCCCTCTAAGGTAGAGGGACCACTCAATTCTGGTGAAATGTATCCACCCTAGGAACTTACCAAATATAGTGTGCAGATGTGTGGCTGCCATTCTGCAAGCCTGTGAGTAAATATGCCCAGGCAGGGACCAGGATGCTCCTCTTTTTCTTGCTTCTATGGGCCACTCCAGGCAGGGCTCTGCAGTACAATGTTAACAAGAGAATTCATAAGATTTCTGTTTCTTCTTCACACCAAAAACAATTCCATCATAGTGCATCCTGTATGCATTCAAGTTGTCTTTGATCCTGGGTTTTGTTTTGCATATCATGTACAAGCTCAAAGCAATATGGTGGGTGTTCTTGACCTTCCCATCCCTAATGTGTATCCACCAACTTATCAAACAACATTACCCACCATTTATCAAAAAATCTCATCTCCACTGAGGCACTTACTTCACTGGCTTCTCATCTGCACTGGCACCAACATATAGACCTGACTCATTAAAGTCATTGGCACCTGACTCTCATTCTTCATTTTGACTCTCAGTATTGCCTTGATTCAAGATGATTATATGCTCTTGGGCATTAACTAGCACACACCTATGGCTTCCTCATCTCAGCCATATACCTTGAAATTATCTACTGAGACTCCTTCCCTCTTCAGGGCCAAAAGTCAGACATCCCAGTCCCAAAACAGTAGTTATACTTCCAACTATGTTCACTTTTTCAGCCTGTGTTGATTCCATCTGCTCTCCTAGCTCATGGAAACTTCCAAGCTATTTATTTACCTTTCCACTATTTAGAATCCTTATTTCCTTAGCACTACATGTGAAATGCCATGGCCCATCACTTCAATAATATATTTTCCAAAACTTTAAATTCTCTCTCTGTCCTATGATAACACCTGCCCTGGATAATTCCAACCATCTGTCTGTCCTCCTGCGTAATTTCTACCCAATCAGTTATATGGAAAGCACTAAAAATTCGAGGCCACCTACTCTAAATGGGCCCTTGACACTTAAGGAAAAGACCAACAGGCCATTTAACCTCCTAGTTATTCAAAGGGTTTTTCACAATCTCTCCCGGATTTTCAACCTCACATGGTCTCAACTTTTCCCTTTCAATAACAAATGACTTCATGTGGTAGACAAAACGCAGGACTGGCTGCAGAACAAGAAATCTCAGTCCTTTTTGGAACTTGTCCTTGATGTTTATCACCAGACCCCAAGGCAGGATGGACAGTTAATAATCTGGGAGCTGCAAAGACCCGCTGTGACCAGCTAGACCAAAAAAGACACTGATTTTACCTGGCATCCACCTAAGACTCATTATATGTTGTATTACAATATATTAATGTACTAAAAGACACATCCTCCCCCACCCCCACTGTAGGAAATGAAAAGACATAAAAGGACACAAAGTGGTCAATGGAGCTCTTCTGAGAAACCTTTGCCTTTTCCAAGAAAACCCCTGAATATTTCTCCTACAAGTTTGAATGTAGAGCACCTAATACAGGGACACCGAAAATAGGCTCAAATCCTGGCAGGAGAGGTGCTGCTCTGTCTACAGAGTAGCCTGCTTCTTCCTTTCCTTTCTTTGAATAAACTTATCCTTTGCTTTACTTTCATTTTGGCTCATGCTGGAATTCTTTCCTGCTTGATGCAAAGAACCCACTGGTTGAGGCCCTTTCTCTGGGCCTCTGGGGCGGAGGGGTCACCTAGCCTCCTACAACACTCACATCTCACCTCACAGAGAAGTGGTAACAAGGATTTCTCCTCTTTTTGCCACTTCAAAATAATGCCACAACATCATGGCTTCTTTTTGCTTTCACTTTGCAAACAAGGAGATGTCTGCCGTCTTATCTAAGCCAGTATCTCCTAATTTGCTAAGCCAGGGTTTCCCATTTTTTGCACTACTGACATTTGGGGCTGGGTACTTTGTTATGACGGTGCCATCCTGTGCATTGTTAGGATGCTTAGCAGCATCCCTGGACTCTACCCACTAAATATCAGTAGTATCCCCTCCAGTTGTAAAACAAATGTCTCTAGGTATTATCAAATGTCCCCTACGGGGCAAAACTGCCCCCATTAAGACTCTGGGTGGTTAACACACAATATGATATATAGAATTGTACACTTGAAACCTACGTAACTTTATTAACCATTAATCCCCAATAAACATTAAAAAATAAAATTAAATAAACACTGATCTAATCTCTTCCTATTGTTAGAAAAGGCTCTAGTCTTTTCTGTCAAAGACAGCAAAGTTTAAAAATATACTTCCTCTTTCTCACAATTGTCTAATGGTCCCAGTTAAAATATACTTCCTCACCACTGCACAGTGGTTTTAGTTAAAAATATACTTTCTTGGGGCCAGCTGAGTGGCACGTTGGTTAAGAGCTGGCTTGGGATGATAGCTCTGAGCAGCAGGGCCCCGGTTCGGATCCCACATGAGGGCCAGTGACACTGCCCTCTACAGCTAAGATGGTGAACAACAGCTCGACCTGGAGCTGG